GACACAGATAAAATGAATCACAATCATAAATAAACCCAAACACAGTGTACATATCTGATGCGCAGTAAATTTGATTGTAACAAATTTCGACCGCAAATCGCGTTCGCGCCCAAACGCGCACACATACACACACTTCGCGCAAGCTAGCATTTGCGACTTCAATTTTATGAAATTATCACAATTTTTATTGATCGTAATTTATCCGTTCATGCGATGCTGTTATTGTTTTGCGGCCAATCTTTATGGCCCAAATAAAATTGTACGCGATTTTTTTTTCTCTGTATTCAAAAAGATTGTTCTCAATGCGAAAGAGTAGAAACGAAAAAAAAAGCGTCCGCGGTTAATAATAAAGGTGCATTTGGTTAGTTTTCATATTTCGATAAAAAATATATCTATATGTATACATCCACAGATCTATGTATATATTTCGTATGCAAATGTCTAAGCTGTTGGTAATTATCGTTAACTTTCCCTGGTCTTAACACCTTTGCAGCGTGTAATTATTCCATCGCTTGTAGTTCATTCACCAAAGCTTTCATTTTGCATTTGCTAAAAGCAGCATGAACAAATTAAGGAAAAATTGAATGAAGCGTAGAAGAGTGTTTGTTGGTTTTTTTTCTTCATCTGTGGGTAAAGATTCCTTGTGACGCAAATCCTTCATAAAATTCTTATCTTTCGGTTGGTTGTTATTCATTGCGGTTACTTTGCGGAGAACAGTGGCACACATAACCCCTTTTATGGTATTTTATCTCAAGAGTAAAGGACTACAAATTGTGTGAGTATTTGAGACAGACACAGAGAGGGAAATAGATTGTCTGAATCTCTTCAACTAAACGATGGCAGTGTTTGGATGTGTACAATTTTTGACTTATCCAACGGCAAGTAGACGTCGGCTGATATTTACCAAGCCAGACTCCCAGAACACAGAGGAAAAGCACACAAAAAAACACGATACATACCGAACAATAACAACAATGCCACGAAATAAATGTCGTACTCATTTGCCGTTTGAAAATCATCTCGTTCCGAGTTCAAACAATGTGTGCAAAATACAAAGGGCCAAAATCGTGCAATTGCATATCGTATTGTTGTTGTTATTTCGGTATTCGATTTCGTTCATCCATCGATAGTCGCAAATGTGTGACTTGGATGTCTCGCTGGTAATCGGCATGCTCAATGAATTAGCATCGTACATTGAAATGCAAACGACGATTAGAGTGATATGACTGTAAATATTATTCCGATAATTTGCACATGTGCTGTTTTGTTTTTGCTTTTATTTGATACATTCGACAAACGATACTGCTAGAGCCAGTAGAAAGAGGCACATATAATGACAGATAGTTCGTACAACGTACTTTGTACATTATAATCAGAGTGAAACTTTACGTATCACTTGAAATGAAAAAAAGAAGAAGAGAAATAAAAGGAAAAATTTCATTTCAGTTTTTGTGCCATTTGAATGCATTCGAAAAACGAAAAAAAAAAACAACAACGACGAAATGCCCTTTGAGAGTTTATTCAAACGGTAAAAGCTCAAGTGTCCATATTTTAATTCAAATTACAGAGACGAGTAGTGAACGGGCATACTCACGCCAGTCCCTCGATTAGCTCATTCATTTTTAGTGATTATTATTATCATTATTATCATAATCATCTTCTGTGGAATGTCTATATTTGTTCGGATCATGGTGAATTTTCACTATTCATGCTGTTGCTATTTTGAATACGAGTTTCTCTCGCAATGTATGTGTACTTTTGTGTTTTATCACAACTACTCTTCCTCAAATGTTGTATCGCATGGCACAATCAACTTATATTTGTCATTGTGGCGTCACAAAAAGCAAATTCAGTTTTATCAGAATAAACATAGCACATTTATGATGAAAACCAGCGCTAACGTGGTTTTTTTTCCCTCTCAAATCTCATTTTTCCAACAAAAACCGATAATTTTTTTTCCATCTAATTGTTACTAAATTGACACAAACGACTCATTAATGGAGGCAACGGACCCAAAAGAATCCATATCTTTTTTTTTCTCTCTCTCTATCTCTCCATTAATCCATCTAGCTGATTTCTGTGACATAAATACATGCACGTCTAATGAAAATGGCGAGCCGAAAGCGGAAAAAAAATGCCGTCAAATACACACAAACACATGCATTGACGCGGTAAGAAATGAATGAAAATACAAAATAAAAACAAGTGAAACGCCATGATTTTTTAGAATTCAACCAAAACGGCATTATTAGTTGCTTGCCCATAATTGACGTGCGGTAGATTTGAGAATAAGCCAGTCATGCGACATTGTAGAAAAGAATATAAAAAAAAATCGAGTGAAATTATTATTGTCACTCGTTAAATATGGTAAATATTGTGAATGGTTGCACACCGAGGCTCCGCCATATCATTACCGCGTAATAATGGTGATCTGCTGATCCCAACTGAACCTGCACACTCTATGTATGTGTGTATGTTTGCGCGCGCGAAAAGAACCCAATGATCGCGATTTTTTACAATCGATTAAAAATATCGTGAAAAAAACTCCAATCCAGAGTGTTACGTAAATATAGAAATTCGATTGTAATTAATATCATTAAATTACGCTTGAGAAAACGAGACAATAAATCAAATCTAGGTCATGTAGTTAGACTATATTTACAATAAATTTTCCAAATACAGAACACAGAGGAACAACAAATTCGAATCTTGTGCACTCAATTTTGTACGAATTCGTTGTGCTCACATTGTATGAGCTTACGATTGGCGCTCTCGCAATATTGCACACAATGAGTAAATTCTCTCAACATATCTGGGTCTCTTTACCTCTCTCACTCGCTTTCTCGTCGAATTCTAATGTTTACCGAAGTTCTCAGTCACAACAAAAACTAAAGTAAACAAAAACCTGATTCACAAACAATCAACAGGTGGTTCTCGCTCGGACACGGTTATTTATGCTTTGCAAGTGAAACTGCAGAAAAATTTCAATAAAGCACAGAAAAAAAATAGTCGGTCAACCAACATGTACCGAACGATCGAACATCGACAAGAATCGTTGCGATAAAAAAATATCGCTTAAAATATTGGAAATAATATTAAGCACTTCAAAATGATAGTGCAAGATGATGTTCATGTTTTAAATTAAATGTGACTCGTGTTTGGAACTTTTTACGATGCAACACAATTATTCGCACATTTCAAAGAAAAAGCAAAATTCACGGTAACGGTTCATGTGTGAATGTTCCAGTTCGAAAGATATTGAACTATGAATAGCGATAGAAATGGAGACTTTGCCACTTATTTTCCGCCTGAATTATTGAGAGCGCGTTCGTTTTGTTGGTTTGTTTGTGTACGGTGTCGATGTTCATTAAACATATCACCTATCTACCATTTAACGAGCATTATCGTTAATTATTATTTTTTTTTCGTGCCTCATTCCTATCTCATTCTCAATGAACTATTCCAAATAATAACGATATAAGACAAACTAACACAGATACAATTGTAACGAAAAAACAAATCTTCTTCGATTCAAACCAGTGGCAATGTCATTCTCATACTCGAGTCTCTTAATTTTTCGCACATCGATGGCATTTTTTTTTACATTAATGGATGACAGTGAGGCATATAGAAAAATTGAACTATATTTCGTGTGATTGTGTCAATTGAAACTCTTATCACATACCAGTGAAAATTGATACCGGAGTACACCAAAACACGTTTACACGTAAAAATTCATGATTAACTTGAACGATCAAATGTTTGTTTGTAGATTTTTTTCTGTTGTCAATCAAGCAATGGAATGTGTCCGAAAAATCGAAAACTGAACGAAAAAAAAAACACAAACATCGAGTAAATAGTGAGCTCGTAAACACCGTTTGTACACGTGAACAAGAAGAAAATTAGAAGGCGAAATAAAGAACATTATAAAAGAAACCGAAAGGAGGCTGAATAGTCATGCAGCACAGGAATGTGCTGGAAGAATGTGTTTACAATTAGTTCTCTTCCCTTTCTTTTTCCGTTCTTCCTATGTGACATTGTATTCTCGATTGTTTTCATTGTTCGTTTTGCGTGTTTGACAATAATAAAAAAATGATCGCTTTTGCGCATCTCATATTTTTTCGGATGTGTTCTTTTTTTTATAGTTTTAAAACATTTTGGAACTAACTTGTTCGACGACCAAAACGAGCAAACACAACAAAATATTGAAATAAAATAATAATATAGTAATAACAAGAATCTATTAATAAATGTACGTTGTGCGCCTCTGTGTATTCATGTATGTATAATATCCGATCGCGTTATCTCTGCGCCTCGTTAAGTTCGCTGTTTTCAATCTTTATGTTTTCAATTTGTGAGCTTTAATAAATATGTGCAATAACTGAACAGACACTTGTCTACAAGATTCGCTTCATTGCAGGTCATTTAATTAATGTTTAATCGAATGCAAATGGCACAATGTAAACATTTTCCAAAAAAGAATCGTTTTTACTCTCTTCATTCTGACATTCACACCGAAACACTGTATCAGAACAGAAAATTTACAAAACTCATGTAACTATTAAAATCAATAAAGTTGTCGGGTATCTTTTTTGTTGGAGTTGTTGCAACATCGAACCAAATAATTACAGAAGATTATGCTTTTGAACCGATGAACAGATAAAAAAGTGAATATAAAATAAAAATCTCGATTTCTTTTGATGAACCTTTACATTTTTATTTCGACATACCAAAAAAAAGAACGGAAAACCGAGAGATGCAAAGAATAGAATTAAAAAAGGAAAACAAAACGAAAATCAAAATAATTATAAAAATTCAATAATCAACGAACGATTTTGTCTCTCTGAAACACCACAAAATTTACCGAAAAGAACAAACATTAAACAGGCATCCAAAACAAATAATCGAAGTAACACAAAAAAAAAAAGAACCAGAAAGATCGAGCATCGAACAAAAATCAAAATGATAATAAAAAAAAATTATATGTATATAACACACACCACACCGATTTCTATAAATTTCCGAACAACACAACTACCTGCAACGAGATTTAAAAATCAACTAAAGACTCAAATTGAAATTGTACGCCTTAAGAATGTGAAGTCTACTCACATACCGCATTTTTTTCATAGTTTTCAGTTACTGGTTTTGCTTATTGTCTCTCTGTTATGTTTTCTCTCTTTCTTCCTCTTCGATTTATGAGAGAGAAGCAAAAAAAAAAAAATCAAATGAGAAGCAGAGAAAAACGAAAATAGAGAAGAAAAAAATCTCTATACATGCAAACATATACATTGAGAACGAGTGAACTCCATACATTCACTTGTACACATGGTTCACAGTAACTGCTCAAATCGAGAATGACAACATACACATGCTCACACACAGGTAATGTGTGTATGGTTGCAGCACACGGTGGAATCAGTGTGTAAGGTGAAGAAGAAGAAGTAAACAACGAGACCGAGAAAGAAAATGAGAGAGAGAGAGAGAGAGATAGCAACATTCAATTGAATTCGCTTAATCTTTTAATATTGTTAGAAGAAAAATGTGTAAATATCACAATTGAAGAAAAAATGCATCGATTTTTTTATTTGAAAACGACGGTGTGTTCATCTGAATTTGATTTTCTTCGGAAAGAAATCATAGACATCCTGAGGCCTGGTACAACGCAAAGAATTTGTGCTGTATAACATTTGGATCCTCATAGACTGATTCCAAAATCTATCAAAGATAGAGAGAAAGAGAAGAGCAAGGCCGGAGTTTATAAAGGATGCATATCATATAGTGCAAGGAATGTTCGATCATTGCCGTTGCATTTGGCTTGTTGTCAGTCTCGTATGAAAATAAATAATCATTAAAAAATATCAAAGTATTGGTCGGTACTCATCACAATATATATTGGTGCTGTAGCAAGAGATAGCACACACACACGCGCGCGCACATACACACATGCTTGCGCTCACATTTGTTGTATATTTCGACATCGGCACTCACTGTATATGGGCACACAAAATACGATATCATCTTTTGATAATAACAATAGCATCCCAGTGAAGAAGGGACGGTGAACTGAAAAATGTACGAGAGAAACAAGCGTTGAGAGGGAGAGAGAGCGCGAAGTAGAATGGAAAGCAAAGAGAGTACAAAGAGTGAGAGAGTAAAGGCAAGAGATGATCGATCAACACCTTGATGCGTTCAACAAGTGGAATACAAGAGATAAGAGCACATATTCATTTATATTGCCCGTTTACTATATATTCGGTTCAAATTTGTTATTGTGGCATGGCATTTAATTGAATGTTGTTGTTGTTGTTGTTTTTTTCGGATGCGGTGAAATATTTTTCTGTTGTCTTCCTTTTTCAAAATATGCGCGTACATAATTGCTCATCAAACGCAATCAAAACAACTGATTTCATAAAATGAAATTAAAAACGTTGCTACAAAAAAGAAAACAAAGACGAAAAAGAATGAAGACGAGACACGCATTTAAATAGAAAGGTGGGTTGGCTTAGACGTTATAGTCGCAGTATTGTGTCTGATTGAAAGCAATGTTTTTACTTCTTCTTCTTCTTCTTCTATCTCTTCCTCTCACTCTCAAAACACTTTGTCGAAACATTGTATTTTGATAGATTTGTCGATCCACGCATCGATAAAACAATCAAAAGCCAAACGAATGAACGCACAAAAAAACACCAAATCAAAACCATTGAATATTTATCAAGTTTGCGAATAGGGAGCGAATTGGTTTGCAGTGCAAAGCTAAAATGTATACAGTTCAATTAGCAGCCGTGAGTAGAGCGGTTATCCTTAGTATTCGCACATAAAGTGTAACATATTTACATTTTATGTTGTGCTAAAAAAAACTGTTGCTCAATGCGTGCACATGAACGCATGTGCGCTTGTTCATGAAAATTGTTGTTTTCTTCATTTGTTGTTTTTGTTTTCGTTTGCAAAGAAGTCGCTTGACATCATTTATGAAGTTAATAATTTTCAACGCGCTTTAATGCGTTTGCAGGCATTCTGAAAGCTCGCTAACTAACAGTTCATTGCACAGTTTTGATTTTACGACCAATTTTGCTTTTAGTCTAAATATCTCAAACATGCTATATAATTAAAACATATATATATGTGTGTGTGTGTTTCGGCGTTGAGTGAACGAACAACAACATCAACTATAGTGGCAACTCTCTTTTTTCCTCTTTCCCATAAAATAACATAAACGAAGCAATTGCACGTAAAGTTTGGTATGCAGTCATTTCTTGTTCATAATGTTGAAAAAAATATATAAACACTTTACCTCTGGCTTTCAGCTAGACTAATGGCCAGAAATGCGATAAACAAGCTTTGAAATGCACAACCAAATATTTGTTGATCCAGTGCGCAGGTATCAAAAGCGATTAATTTGATGCACATTACTACACACACCATACAAGGTGTACAGAGAGGGAGAGAGAGGAACAGAGCAAGAGCAAGAGCGAGAGAGATAGACCAACTGACTGGAGTGTGCGTTCGTCCAGAAATACTAACCGACTTATTGCACACGAGAGTACGATAGAATCATATAATTTGAAATTAGTAGTAAGACGATGTTGCCAGCAAATGAATAACGATGCAAACAGACGAACGACATAAAAGTGCGACCAATGAATCAAAACTGAACATCATCAAATTCCACAAAATGAAAATGTGCATTTGTGCACATATATTCACAGTCTTATTAATTTATTGGATAACATCAACAATTTTAGATTAATATAGATAAATGTTTGTATGGTATGCATCGATGGATGCACAAAAAAAAATAGTAGTCGGCAGAGTTTTATTTGGTTGGTAGGTTGTCGATTTTTTTTTTCCCGTGTGCAAATGCAATAGGTCAACCGAAATCGTTTTGAGACATCACCACGGTAATTTTCGTTCGTAAGATCATTGAGATCATGATAATAATTCATTCATAAGTCAGTCTATTTCCACTTAAAAACAATCAAATCATGATTGAAATTTTCTGCAGAAATTCCATTTTCATTGCACGTTTAAATTAGAATGTGTCTTTGTGCATGTGTCTGTGTTACGTGATTAATGGTCGAAAATCATACAGTTGTTGTTGTGGTTTTTTTTTTCACAAGGGCCCATTATTACTAATAATACGAATATTTTTGCCTTTGTAGCTGTACCAACGGGTATATTGAAACGGGTTGATTTTCAGTTGAGCCTGTGTTTTTGTGATGCAATAAATTATGAACCATGCACACACACACACAACAATAAGAATTTCAATTGGAATTACGAATGATTTTTTTGGGTTTCGATTGTGATAGTATTCATTCTGCAATGGCATCAAAAATACAGATATTCGTCTCTGAACGAAAAGCCAAAAGGCGAGAGAGTTGAGGAAGATTTCGATTTTTGGTCGAACAACGGCAACGGTGACTGCGACGACCATTCTATAACATATACAATCCACATCATGAGCATGAACACCAATCCATAAAATTACAAGACGAAATCAACGACGTCAAAAACGATTACGATCACGTTCTTTTTTTTCTCTTTCTCTCTCTTTTTCTCTTTTATTTTTATTACAATATTATTAGTGAATTGGATACTTACACATATGTTGTGCACTGACAACCAAAGAATAATCATATGAGTGCGTGTATTTGTATGTTATTTTCATTTTGTTGTTTTTTGGTTCAGTCTTAACAACATGCATCGAACATCAATGAAAACATCATCATCATCATCATCATCAAAAACAACCACAGCAGCACCTTTAACCAAAAGAAGAGACTGAGATGCCAAGAAATAATATATGTTACACACTAATATTTGATTCCAAAAATCATTTGACTTCACCCACCCGATTTTGGTGAACACCAAAAAGTGCACCTATACAAAAAACACACACACACATACACGCACGCTAACACTCATCCATACTCTCATGCTATTATCGTTCGTTCTCTGTTCATTCTTCGATCTGGTATGCTCGGCCTGTAACACAAGAGCGAAAAAAAATATTCACTTGATGCCTGGAGAATAGTGAAATGAAAATAAATCAAACACGATTTGGTGCCTTTCATTTGTTACAAAGTATCTACCAAAGGTAATTTTAGAACGCTACATTCTTTGGTGTTTTGTGCGAGTGTGTGATACACACAGTGCAATATCATGTGCATGGTGCGTTCTTTCATCGATGTCGTTGTCTGTGCAGCGGCAAACAATGAAGATGACAACAGCACCAACACCACCACCACCACAACCACCATCAGCATCAATCGCAATGCTTATATGTGCAACAATGTGTATATTTTGAATGGTGACCTGATAAACTCTACGAAGAGTGTGTCTTCGTTTTCATTTTTATGCACACGTTTCTCGTTCAATTCTTTTACCATCTTCTATCTCATTCGATTTGTTCGTATTTCGATCGAGCAGCACCATGGAGAGTAGATACTCTATGCACGTAATCTTAACCGTGTTGTCGGTTTCAATATTCGACTTTCGTTCCGTCTGTCAGAGTTAATGCATGATATGAGAAAAATTCCATGTCGAATGAGGTATTTTTATTCGGTGCTCTTTCCTTACTCGTCTCTCTTTTTCTAACACATATACCCAATCTTTCACTCTCTTTCCATATATTTCACTTGGAATTGTTTCTTCTACTTTTTCCCTGTCTTTCGTTCTTTTTTTTTCGTCTCTCATTTTATTTCTTGTGCTGTCTCCTCTCATTTTATTCACCTTAGATGCACTCGCATTGGCATCTTTTGGTGTCTCTTCAATTTTGCCTTCATTGCGCTTTCTTTCTCTCTTTCTTCGTATCTCTCTCTCTCTCTTTCACTCTCTCTCTCGGCGTGTGTGTGTTTTTGTTTTCTTTATTTTTTTATATCTCTTTTAATTGTTATTCCCTTGCTATTTTATATCATCAAATCAAACCAAACTATTTTTACATGGCTGCTCATTAGCTGCAGATATGTCTGACACCAGCTAAAATTAAAACGAGAGACTATCCCTTAGAATCTAAAATTTACAACAGCAGAAAATCTTCGCACATACGGAA